CGTCGAATCTGAATCACTTGAAAAAAACACGGAGGTGCTTAACTTTTTTCCAGGTGTATAGCTTATACAATTATGAGTTTTCAAAAAGTGTTAAATTTTCTTGGCTTTCACTAATTTTAGACACTTTAATTAAATCAGATATTGTAATAAATCTAGCTTAACTATATTCTCGTTATACTGACATAATTATTCCATCCGAAAAAGTGACCGATTTCGAACATCATTTTTAGCAGAGTAAAAAAAAAATGACAGATTTAATTTTTATATATTTGAAACCAGTGATAACTACATATTTGACTATAAAACCGTTAAGCTGAAAAGCACATCTAGAAGCTTCTAGATGTAAATCCAAGCCCAATCTTCAGATTGTTGATTCGAAATGTTTTTCTCTTTCCAGAAATCCACGTGTGGAGTGTCATAATAATATCATACCTCGTATGGATCTAACAAAATGGGCAGATGTCAATCAATATAAAAAGTAAAGAATAGTTAATTCGTTGACCAACATTTTGATCAGTTCATAACTATATTTCTATCCTGTTCTTTAACGTACCATTTCATTACACTTATAGAGCATATTTTAAAGCCATGGTGTAACACATTCAATTGAATCATATCTTTTATAAACATCTACCAAGTTCTTACTCACAAACTCAATGATCGACGTATAATAAATACCTCACACCAAGTTGGAATTTTGTAAAATGAGTCTTTTAATTGTTTGAAATGCATTATGTACATAGGCCCCTATCTACAATATCCCGAAATACTAATTATAGAATAATAAATTAGAAAAAGTAAACAAATTTATATAGTGTTAAAACGTTAAATATTTTCTTGTTTTAAGAGTTGTACACGCGATTTATAAAAAAAAATTTGTTCAGGTGACATTAAAATGCTCGAAAAAATAATAAAATTTATGTTTTTAAAACTTTAAGAAAAAATTTTATAGCAGTTGTTCTTTTTGTACTTTAAATTTTTCATACTGACTAATACCGTCAACATTCTTTACAACTTATTAATCAAATTATAGTTATTTTTGAAATATAAGTGTTTGTTTGTTTGAAGTTAAGCACAAAGCTACACAATGGGTATCAAAACCCGGTTTCTAGCGTTGCAAGTCCGCAGACATATCGCTGTGCCACTTGGGGACTAGAAATATAAAGCTTAATGTAATGAAAGTGGTATTTTTAATATGAAGTTTTAAACCTGAGCGCTGGAAAGTTAACGTGTTTATCTTACACAGCTATAAACAAGTCGCTCTTTTTTTAAGTTAAGTTTTTGATTAATATTTTTTTAGAATTAGTTTACATTTTAAGTTATCCCAAGTCTAGACGATGAAAAAGTTTGAATACTCAAAGTAATGAATATTGTATGATGCGTCTTTTAAGACTGCACAATGAATCTTGTAAATATTTGTATATTTATGATGTTCCACTTCCATTAGTTTTGTACTTGTGAGGCTTTGATAGCCAAACAACCCATTAACAAAATAAAATACTTTTGTATATATATATGACTGTATGTCAATGTTGTTGTACTTTCTTTTATGGCAAAAATACAAAAGCTATATGCCGCCCTCCCTAATTTTGACCTACCGACCACAGGGAAGACAACCGGCCGACAGCACCTACCGCCGGCTCTTTGCCAGCGAATAGTAGGCTTAATAGTCATACTATAACGCCCTCGAAGCTGGAAGGGGCGAACATGTTCGGTGCCGGGTTGTATTTGGCAGCAGTTTCACAAAGAAAAGTTAACATTCTCCTAAACTGAAAATGTATTTCCAATAGATACTTGCCTCTTTTCACAAAAAAAAAACCTTTCTCGGCTAGTGCTGTCCTCTATCGGAGCAAGTTTTTCGTTCGACACCAGCCTTGCAACTCCTACTTCTTTCAGCATATCAACATGTAAATGATCATGCAGCAACCCTCCACCAATAGGAGTGCGACAATACTCCCGTCGTAAATAGCGCTCTCTCTCTCTCTAATCATGAACTTGTTAATCTCTTCCAAATTGGTCACAATTAACTGAACCAAATTACACAGGTAGTGGGTAGGACGGGTGGGAAGTATCTATCGGAAATACATTTTCAGTTTATGAAAATATTAACTTCCGATACGATATCTTACCTCCTCTCACAAAAAGCTAGAATCTCACACTGAATAGGTGGAGGACCAGTGATGATTTGATCCTCCTTGAGAAAGTGCCCAAAAATACCATGAAGTGTGGTAAGGAACGAAAAACATCACACTAGTTGAAGACTGCACACTTCTGAGTTAGGTATACTCTTTATCCTTCAGGAATGTTGCCAAAACCTAAAGTGCTGAAAAATAGAGGGGCCCCAAAAATTTTCACCAGGAAAGGGACCCCAGGTGCCGAGTGACTAGGTTCCAATACTGGAGAGAAGCAGGGTGGTGAGGATGAGCAATGGAGAACACACTAATCCCGAAAAACTAGAGGATCCAAAGAATATCCTGTCTGTATGGGATAACTAATCTGCAACAAGATTCATGGCACCCATAATAAGAAATGCCAACAAAGGGATATTATGGCAGTGGGCCCAACACAGAAGATCCAAAATGCGAAAATAAGGTCTCTCCGACCACTTGACCCCCTGCCTGGGGATGTAGGACACTGCTGTAGAATTGTTGGAGTGGTCCTCACCAGCTGGTCTCGAAGAGCCCATAGGAAGGTAAGTACTGGCCAATGAACAGCAAGAGGGTCCAAGACAATGGATTCGAAAACGAGTTCCCACCCCGTAACCTCCCAAGTGTCAAGAAATGGTCCCCAAATGGAAAGAGAAGAATCTTTGAAAATGTGACAATCCAGAAAAGGAGGAAAGAATCCCCACAATAATATTGGTCCAATCTAATACCAGTAAAAAATTAACTGTGAGGGAAAAACGTAAGAGGAGCATCCAATGGAACCCAAACAAGGCACCATAGGTCAAACAAAACCCACTACAAATAGTGGATGTGGGTAAGACCAAGAGGAATTAGGCTTTGAGAGAAGCCCATGTCCCCAAAATAGATTCCACATGAGACGTTCCATAGTTCTCAACCTAAGAGGAGAAGGCTGGTCCCAACAGAGAAAAGAGGTGAGAAACACACCAAGATGAGGCAGAAATTGAGTGTGATTAATTACTTTCCCACTTTGATAAGCCAACCCACCCAGGCCTCTTTCCAAAGAAACTGAGTATGCAGAGCAGAATTGACCTGTGAGAAAGCTAGAAGTAGCCAGTCGTCTATGTAATAGTGTAAATAAAGGTCCCGAATTAAGCTGTCAAGAGAAGGTCTGGGCCACTCAGTAGAACACATAGAAAGCTGAGGCAAGTTTGAACAGAAATGGCCAAAATTAAAACAACCATGATGAACAAAACGAAGAAAATGTGTGGATGCCAGGGAGATGGGAATATGTAGATATGCATCTGACACATTGAACTACTTCATTCACAAACCAGGAGTGAAAACCCAATGAAAAGTAAAGTACAACTCCAGGGTGAAATTGAGAATGATGAGGAGACAATAAATCAAAAACCAGGGGCCAATATCCTATCATTTTGGGAACAACAAAAAAGACGAATAGAAAATCCTAACAGGAAGGATCTTCTCTTTGATGGTACTCTTGAGAAGCAAGTCCAAAGCTGCCTCCGATTGATGCTGGCAAGAAAGGATCCTGCTGAGGGTGGAAAGATATTGTATGTTGGGACAATGGGAGGGTTGAATGGAAAGAGGGTTATGTAGATGAGCTGAATTAACCCGACTCCAAAGATTGTGAAAAAAAAATCCACACAACTCTTGATGTAAAAAAGGTTCCATGTGCAATTCACGCAATGAAGAGAAAGGTAAACAAACCCCAAAAAAAACAGTATCCCGATCAAGAAGAACCCAACAGCAGAGCAGTCCTGTTTGTAAAACAGGGACAAAGTTCAAAAGCATGCCATGAGAGTAAAAAAAGAAGAGAGACTACCATGATCAATAGAAAACTATTAATGAGACAGATGAATAGTCTCAACCAAAAAATGGACCAAATTAACCAAAGTATCAGGGTCCAAACCCCACATAAGAAGAATTCCAATAAGTATGAGTTTAATTATGGGTAGTTGAAACTATAACAGCAAAAAACATGATAGGCCAACATACACGGGGAACAAGGCATATCGATCCCTTTAATGCAAATGTTCCCAAAACGACTAGCAAGAAACACACTATCCAGGAAAGGAGGAAAAACTAAAGAGTGACCCAAAGATTAATTCCCAACGATGGCATTGGATAGAATCTTAAAGGAAAACAGAACACAACATACCTGATTAATCAAGTCTACAAAGGGAGGAGTAAGCCTGGGTAAGAACCCCGAAACGACATGCGACAAATAAGCATACTTAGGGGGGGGGCCTAAAATCTCATCCATCCATACAGACACACCTAGGTGCTGGTATGATGGGACACTTCATCAGGTTATTCAGAATGTTGCCTAAAATTATACAATTCTCTAACAATCATAACCTTCACGTCAGTAGTCAATAACTCTGGCACCGACCCCATAGACGTGGTCAATAATTCCGCTGTAGCAGTAACCGCTTAACAAAAAATAGAAAAGGGAAAGTAGATTATGAAAATAAATCACGACTCTACACAAAAAAAATGGAAAAAATGTCAATAACTAAATTAGAAAAACATATGAAAGTAAAAAAACCATGAACATAACTAAACCATGAGCAAAAACAAACACGTCTGCTCAGTAAGAGTGCCAGTCGAGAGGTGATTAACAAGTGCATGATCAGAGAGAACGTTAGTTACGATAAGTGTAGTGTCTTATTTACATGTTGATATGCAGAAAGAAGTGGAAATTGCAAGGCTTGTGGCAAGCGAAAAATATGTGCCGATAGAGTGCAGTACTAGCAGAGAAAGCTTTTTTTTTGTGAAAGGAGGTAAACATGTACGAGTTTTACAAAGTTTAGCTATAAATGAAATTTTTAGAGAAACAAATTCAGTCACACTACTATGTAACAAAAAATTTATCTTAAAAAAATGCATCATTCTCTCACAAAATGCTAAAATATTTTTAAATTACACTTGACTCATTTTCTCAAAATTTATACCCAGTATTTTTTAGACTAAGGTTTCAAATAAAGAAATAAAATGTAACTTTATTTTTAATAACACTTGAATTTATTCAGGTCAATTTTCACATAATTTATACTTTATAGAAAGTTAAGTTATAAAAAATTAAGAGTGGTTTAACATATAAGAGATCAAGTTTTCTGCTAGTTAATTAAAGTTGTCTTTTTTGGGGCAAAATATTACAAACACACAAGTGAAACTTTGGGAAACTTTTAGAACTTAACAGTTTCTGTTAAAGTACTATTTGAAAAATTTAATGTAAATCTATTTCTCAGTTTCAAGCTTATTTTACAATTGTATTTTAATCAAACACTGAAAAATGCACACCTATAAATTCAGAGCTCAGAATCTTTAAAACTATTATTGTCTTATGAAATCAAATTTCCTAATTATCTTTTAAATGAACAAAAAGTTATCTACAATGTACAACATATACCAAGCACACCATAAAAATACCAAAGTTCTAATATTTATGTCTGGAGTATTTCTAAACTTGGGAAAACAAATATTAGCTTAAATTTAATGATGTATATTACATATACAGTATATCAAATTAGGAATGTCTTTAGATTGTATAGGTTTTAAATTTTATGGCTGAAATATAAATAAATGTCTACCCTCTCTTGACTTCATTAAAAATATATTTTTATAAAAAATTTAGCTTATAATTATAACTTAATATTATCTTGTTAAGGATACTGAATCACGAATTATTATAGTATATTAATCTATATTTTGCTGATGCTAATATTTAACTTTTTCTTTTAGAAATACAACCAAAAAAAAAAGGGCCATTAACTTTTCTATTCATTGATTTTGAGTTACTATAGCATGAAACCTAGCAAGAAAATGTTTTTCATACTAATATTGTTGCATATATTTTTGATAATACATCATTTCTGCATTAACCCTTATAAAAGATGTTTTATACAAAAAACATTTGTCAACTTGCAGGGATACACAGATTTCAACATTTTTGGCAATTCTTCTATTCCATGCACACTTTTATCATTGAGTAACCACAGTTCAAATGGTTTAGTCTAATCGGTTTTATACTCAACAGCATTAACCTGACAATGATTTAAAAACAAATGTTTGCTATGTATTTTGCATAAAGAGTAAGATTAAGATTTTAAATTATTTTATTTCAGTTTTTATGACCAGAAGATGTTTCTTTGTTTGCTCTAGCTACATTTTCATCAATACACAAAGTAATTATCATTCACGCTACAACCCTATTGGTTAGGAAAGAGCATCGATACAACAGAGTCATGGTTTACCAGTTGAGAAGTCGACACAGTTAAACACGCAAACATAAATTGTGCCACTTGTTTCTTTTTAAATTCTTGCTTCAACTTTGAAACACTTCTAAATCAAAAATGGAATATTTCTAATAAAATGCAACACATGTATCACAACACCAATTTGTGTTATAATTACAATTCAAGTCTTGGAGGTAATGCAGTAGGTGTTATTTACATTTAGAACCACCTATATATATTTATTTTCGTTTTTGTGCTCAAAATTAGTAACAAAAAAAAAAAACAGAGGCAGTAATGACACAATCTGTGTCACTACATAGCTCAAGTCACAGTATTAGTTGTCACTGACCAGTCTAATTATCTCTTTTGATCTGATCTTCTTCTGATCTAGAGTAAAAGAAAAGAAATATTACATCAGAAATATTTGAAATAAAGGAAAACTGTGTTAACTTGCTTTCTATCATTAAATCATTTATTGTATGTCAACTATTAACTACCCTTCATAATTATTGTGAAGAAAATGAATACCTCCCTTGTACACATCACCAATACACATTAGTTGACCACTTTACCTCTTTCTTGGTTAAGAACAACAACATACATCCTTTATCATGTATGTAAGCAACACTGAAACTTAACTGCATTAAAGTTTGACAGGTACACCTAGAGTGATGGACCAAAGAAATTCTGTCCTAAAGCTACAGGAAGTGGTCTGAACCTAAAAGACAAGTCCCTAATCCACAGGAAACAGTTTAGATTAGGGATAATTACAACTAGATGTAATGACATTGGAAACACTGCTCTTAATTTACAGCTATTAGCCTGGACATAGAACTACCTGTTATTAAAACTAGTGACACAGACAGAGGAGTAAGGAACATTAACATTTTCCTTATCTCAAAATTCATTTCAGATGAATATTTCCTCTCCACAGAAAAGTGAGAATTATTGCCTTACATCAATGCCCAAAATATTTTGGAGCATGCACCAAGCCTTTGAAAATAGCTACCATCCCTACAATTAATAATGTGTAATGTGAGTCTATAATGCAATCAGTATTGGAATGTAGCCCTCCACCAACTAGAGAGTGACATTTTCATATGTACAGTGTTCCTCTTGGGTACATTATATATACCAAAGGTTCATTCTTGGCGAAGCAAAAGACCCACAAAGGCATCATTTAGTGAGAGATCATATCTATCTTGTGCAGGGAATACTCTTTTGCCCAGCAGGAGTAGTAGAGTAAAAGGCATTGTCAAAAGAAACTCCTGTATGGTGCTTAAATGACATATAGGTGTGCAGAATGTAATTACTGCTCAACTAGTTTGTATGTCTCCAGGGTTTGACAAAGAATGTACGTGTGGTATAGCTAGAGCAATATGTCAAGCCATGCAGAATGTAAGAAATACCTGCTTCCCAAGGAGAACACAAGACCTATCCCACTGGCATAACCAAAGGGGTGTACGAGCCAAGCAGGAATTTTCTATCATCTTCATAACATCCCACACTGATAGACTGTGCAATAGGTTATCATAAACAGGAAAAGTAGACACTAGCCGTGTGAAAGGCACCATCATACTTGCTTTTTTTCATGAAGTGTAACCTGGAAGATAAAATATATATATACTGCTGAAGAAGTCTTGTGGAAAACCCCATCTTAACAGTGAACATTTAACAGGGGCAGATGAACTTAACACTTTGTTACCCATCACTTAATGCAGATTTTGGAAGTAAAATCTTGTAAGACAACATCCGCCACATGATGGGTTCCATCATCACCAGTACATAGTCCCATGTTGATACATGTATATATATAATGGTGATGTGGGAGCTGTAAAAAATAAACACCTCTTTAGAGCCCTTGGGAAGATTATAGAATGGTAAACAGAGAGAGATGAAACCCAGAGGCATATTAAACAACAATGTGATGTAAGTAATAAGGCACAAATGTCTGGGCAATCTACATCACTGCTGCAAGATCTGGTCAAGGAGATATCATCAGCTAGAGACAAGAGAAGCATTAGATGATGACAAAGTTGATGGTAAGCGAAATGAAAAAGATGAAACGGCTATCTCCCACTGATGAATAAACAAGCAGGATTAGTTGTTTAACCCAACCAGTCAAAGTGTAAGAAAACAGGTTACAAAAAAAAGAAGAATCTCATGTCAAGAAAAAATGGTGTCAACTACCTTGAGAAAAAGAAATATGAGCAATATAACAATGAACTGCCCTAACAGGACAAAGGAGACAATCATTTTTGGAACAATCATACAGAGAAGAAAGGAAAAGTGATTGAAGAAAATATCTAATCACCTCTCCAAGCAGCTCAAGTCTTTGGGAGGAAGTAATAGTCTGGAAAAAAATTCAACCTTTTCTGTTTGAAAAAACATGGAAAGTGTCTAAAGTACAATTATCAGAGCAATGTTTCCTGCAAGGAAGAAAGAGCAGAAATACATTGTAAGAAAAAGACAGCACAGGAAACAGGTGGCCAAAGGTTTTAATGGAGGATATGAAAAGACTTGAAAACTAAATAAAGAAGAAGAATTGGAAGAGAAAGATGACAAATTAGAAAGGCTCAGAATAGACCTGTAAGGACTAGAGAAAAATGAAACTGGCCAAGAAAAAGATGAAAAGTCCCCACAAAAGACACAATGCAATCAGTGATCAAAGAAATAGAAAGCCTGCCCTCAAAATCCAGAACAAAAAGGAAGTGAAATAAGGAAGAGTCGGATGATCTGGAGGGAGTGGCAAATGGACCAGTATCGATAAATCTCACCCCTGCATATATAAATAAGCAAAAGTGATTGAAGGATAAGAATGAGGAAGAATATGGCTATTCTGCTAAAAAAATTGAGTCATATGGAGTTCTATGACTTAAGACTGGGGGAGTCTAACTTCAGAAAACAAGGTATCTCAATAAAGCAACCCCAAAATAAAGGAAAGTGAACTTGGAAATAGCTGAAAAAAAATAGAGCATTAGAAAGAACAGGTCAATGTGAACTTACCCCAGTAAAACTGTTGGGATAACAATGCAGAAAGTTAAGAAGGTGAGTAAACGAAAAACTAAGAGCAGTAGAATGAATTTACAAGAACCTCAGAGTACAAGAGAAGAGATTCAATAGATAAGAGCACTAGAAATGAGGCAGAAGTCTAAGCACAGGCCACAGAAAAGGAATCTTAAGTTCAGGGAGGACATGGCAAAGAATCAATATGAAGCATAGATTGAAAGAATCAACAACAAACATATGAGGGAGGAAGAGGGGAAAAACTTACGAGTTGAAGAGAATGCAAGAAGCTCACCAGAGAACCAGCAGAAAATAACTGGAGTAAAAGAACAAATGTTACATATCTGAGCTACCAAAGCAATGAATGGCAAAAGTTAGTGTACTTGATCCTAGTCAGGGAAAGAAGAATCAGAAGCAAAGGCAGGTTGTGGGAAAAGTTGGTAAAAAGACATCCAAACACAAGACAGGCTCAATAGAAGGTACAGAAGCATGAGGCAGCAAGTTCTGGGTCCAAGATGAGTGAACCACAATAATCATTGGTAGTAGCACTGCTCACCATCTGAGTAACTCTACACACCATTGACAGGAAGTAAGAAAATTCCTATGAAGGAGAATCTTGACAATCGGGAGTTTCAGAAATGCTAATGTATGATATTGTTTGCAATAAGATCTAAGAAAGTGAATTAATGGGGAAATTGTTTGTTTGATTTTTTCTAAGTAGGTCTGATATGTTTGCAATGTATAGGCCTTGGTCATTGACAAAATTATGAAAATTGTGTTTAAGTATTGAAGCCTGAACACTGTGTTAATAATGGCGGGTAAAATTTCTGTGATAGAAACCATATCACAGATTCAAGAAGATATACTCTAAAACCTCATACTTTGATTAAGAGAAGAAATCAAATTAATGTAACAAAAGATAACAATTCATATCAGTAGCTCTAACTGAAAGTTTAAAAATTTAAGTCATTCTTTCTTGAAATCAGGAAAATAAAGTTGAAAAGAATAAATTTAAAAATTTCATCTGACTCTTCAGTGCTGAGGAAAGAACAAGCTCTCTTATTGGTGGAGGGATATAGTATAATGCTGAATACATAACAGACTGGTGCAATACATGTTATAATGTGTATGGGTGGGAGTTTCATTTATTAAAGGCCTGGTGCAAGGTAATAGCTCTCAGTTCTGTGGATATGTGAGTAGCATTTTTGAATAAATATTTTAGCTGCAGGTAAAAATTAAAACATAATTAGTATACAGCCTACCAATAAGTAAACAGACACCCCAACGATATAAATCAAACATTTTCATGACATCATATGCAAATAACCTTGATGTATAAATACAAGCATAGTCTTGATAAAGACCACATAATATAAACAACCATACCATGAAAAAAAAAAAGATTCTTGAAATTAACTGTACTTTCACAAGAGGTCATATAGTTGAAAAATATAAGGGAGGCCAAAGTCAGCAAGAAAATGCACTACTGTTTTCCACAGTGAATATAGTGACAATGCTGTTCCAGTCACTTTGGAAAAGTTTCTGCACAGCAAAGTTACCTAAAACCTAAATATTCACCAGTAATGGGGCATAATCTTGTAAATTACAATGCATAAATGTATTTCTGCTTTATATTTGCAAAGTGAAAGTCCACTAAACATTAATGGTATTCTTGTACCCTTTGTTTCATATTTGATAAAATAACATTCTTCTGGAATTGGGTATCTACTTACTTATTGGAATGCTACTTATGTTAAATGGGTTCAAATTTTGTACTTCAAGAAAGAATTCTACAAAACTTGAAGTTAGATATTTATACATATATATATATATATATACACACACAAACACATTTATATAGATATATATATATTTGTGTATGTTCAAAAACACTCATACACATGTGTTTACAAGTTTACTCATTCTGGTTATACTGATCCTAGAAAAATGAACACTATTTCTTATAAATAATGCACCTAAAGTTTACTATTATACTCATACAATACTATCATTATTCTGCATGCACTACAAGAACTAAGCAAATTTACCTAATCTAACTGAAATCTGTATTTAGAATATATTCAGGAAATAATGCTTAACTGTGTCAGTTTGATGATAAAATAGAAACAGAAAATTACTCTGTTGCAGTCTAAGGGGAAAAATTCAAGATAAGCCATTAGTTAATACAATTCTAGTATATAATTTTCATAATATTATACTTCAGTGATTTTAAATTCATATATGAAGTGTTAACAAATGTCCTGCTAATTAGATTTGTTATTAATTTTTATGAATAATTCAATACTAAATATTCCAAATACATATTAAAAATGGTACAACAAGATATATATATCACAAGCAAGCCATGTGTGACAAAGAGG